AGGACAGATGGCCGCCACACCGAGATCCAGACGTCCCCACTGGATGCCCAGACACAAAACCAGCCTGCTCCCCATAACTCAGCATACAGCTCACACTTTATCCGGAAATGATTTTCAGATGAATTTCCAGTATAAATATGAACAGTAAAGTTTCTAATAAAGAGTAAAGTATTTCCACATCCTTAGCAGATCAGTTTCTTAAACAGTACCAGCCTGTTAAAAGCATCAGCCACAAAGGAAAGGACTGATTACACAGAATATATTAAAACTAAACACTTCTGTTGACGAAGACTTTCAGAGTGATAAACCCCTGCAGCGCACAGAGCAAGTAACACGAGGCAGACAATGCCTACCACGGTGTGGAGGGTGAGTCTCTTCCGCCAGCCCTGCACAGGCGCTCAGCCACACGGTCAAGGACCAGGGAAGCAGACTGAGGCTCTGGCATGCACAGGGCAAACCCGCTCAGATGGAGGTTGCAAAGCAGGTGGTCGGAGCATAAGTAGAGGGCACAGGTCAGAGCTGAGGGTGAAGAGGGGCTCCAGAAGCTCACAATGTGTGTCAAAATCAACTTATCTTTTAATCTTGTTTTCTCACAAACTTTTTGAAATATCCTCATAAGTGTGTCCTGTGTTAGACGGAAAGACAGACACAAACGAGCTTCACAAAGGCCATGGAGAAATGAAAAGATAACACACACTCCCACGACCTTTCTGAAGCCTGCTTGTACACACCTCTCCAAAATGCACACATACAGGGACCAGAATATTCACAGAACTGGGTAAAAAAGCCTTCAATGAAAATCAGATGTCCAACCGCAAACGGATAAGCCTTAGTCAAGTCTGTTCTAGTCATACAACAGGATACCAACGGCCCAGCGACACAAGTGAATCCCCTTACGTGAACACAGCATAGAGGAACCACCCACACCTGTAAGCTGGCACAGGACGGATCAATACACTGTCTGGTCCTAGTCATGCAGAATTGAAAACCGATGTTAGCATATTAAAAAAAAAAGAACTAATAAAAACAACGCTTTCCAGACAGCAAGTATCATTCTAAGTAATCTTTCTGTTGGATTTCCTCAACAGTGTCAGTGTGAGTCTTCCCACTGGTGCAAACTTAGTCACAAAAATGTCTAATAATTTGCCTAAGGCCATGGGGCAGCCAGGAGCCTGGCGTGAACTGGAGGAGCCTGGCTCAAGTGTCTAAATGTGAATCACAACGCACAACTTCCCCGCAAATGACAGAACTCTCAGGCAAAGAAGGAGGGCGGCGGACGAGCAGGAGGAGGAGCAGAGGGATGGCTTACTTCCCACCTTCCGAAGAAAAACAAATCAGTGGGGAGGGCAGGGGTTGAGACCGCAACCCCTGAGCTTTACCTGACCTGAAAAAGCTGCAGCGGTGATGCCCCACGGCCAAATGCCTCAAGCAGACAGAGCCAGGGTCACCAGGGAACATCAAACTGAACTCATCTGCCCTCAACATCATTTTCTGTTGCAAAAAACAAATGAATAATGCTTTGATTAAAATAATTTCATCTTACCTAAAAATATTTTTTAAAATTTGATTTTCATTTGATTTGAAAAGCAGAGACAAGAGAAAGCTCTTTCAAGTGCTGGTTCACGCCCCTAAATGCCTGCATCAGCTGGGCTGGGTGAGACGAACTTTGGGAGTCTGAAACTCCATCCGGGTTCCCCACCCCCTGGGTGGCTGGGACCAAAACACACAAACACGAGCCATTCCCTGCTCTTCCCAGCATGTGTTGGCAGGAAGCTGGATGGGAAGCAGAGCGTGCGTGTCCCAAGCAGCGTCTTAACCACGGCATCAAATGCCCACCCCAAGAAAAAGAATTTTGAAGACGTTCTAGAAGATTTAAATATCTTACTAATGAAAGGCAGCAGCAATTTACTGAGCCCCAGCAGTGTCCTGGCACCTGGCTGAGCCCTTTAAATTCACCTCTCACGAATTCACCCAACAATGTGAAAGCTGGTCCTACTCTTGTTTTCCTGAGAAGTCAATGGGTGAGCACTCAGCTGCCCAGAGTCACTGGTGGGTGGGTGGCAGACATGTGGTCTGGTCTCTAGTGTCCAGGGTTCAACCCACAGGGGACCGAAAGAGCCTAGCAACCACTGGTGGCACACGTAGGAATTGGACAGGAGCTAGTACAAGGCTGCTGACTGGGGGAGGGGATGGTGAGTCAGAGCGGCTGCGAGAATGCCCTGTTAGTGGGCATCAGCAGCTGAGGACACACTGGTTCCCTACCCCTACCAGAGGGCCCAGGGATTAAAGAGCAGTTGAGTCCTTATGAAGCTACAGGCCACCAGTGGGCAAGGCCCCTTGGGAACGGACTCCGCTGCCTGGAACCCTTGACAGCACGTGGGCCTGCCAACGTGGGACTCGCCCACATGCAAACTCGCAGGAGCTCTCTCTGGTCGCACCCTGAAGCAGCAGACGAAGCCACCACAGATGCTCACAGCTCACTACAGCGGTGAAGCTCAGAGGGACCTCGGCTTCTTGGCTACGTATGCGTCGTGATGGTGTGGGCTGACGGAGCATGCGGTTGCACTCCTCTTACCAACTGCCAGGGTAGAGTGCACACTTCCCACGCCCACTGAAAGGGTAGCGAGTCAACAAGTTCTCGCTATAACCCCAAGACATAGGGCCAATTAAAACCTCCCTGCCCACCACAGACTGACCCAGTCACTTGCATGGAAGTTCTCTCAGTCAACTCCCAGTCAAGGATTTAAGTCCAGCACAGGACGGTTCTTCACTTCTTCTTCTTTTTTTTTTTAAACATGTATTTTTATTATTTTTTTATTGGAAAGGCGGATATACAGAGAGGAGAGACAGAGAGGAAGATCTTCCATCCGATGATTCACTCCCCAAGTGAGCGCAACGGCCGATGCTATGCCGATCCGAAGCCAGGAGCCTCTTCCGGGTCTCCCACGCGGGTGCAGGGTCCCAAAGCGTTGGGCCATCCTCGACTGCTTTCCCAGGCCACAGGCAGGGAGCTGGATGGGAAGCAGGGCTGCCAGGATAGAACCGGCGCCCATATGGGATCCCGGGCGTGCAAGGCGAGGACCTTAACCACTTGTGCCACCGCGCCGGGCCCCACTTCTTCTTCATAGCACAGATAATGTTGCAATGAATCATTTCCTGGAGATTGGTTATAGAATAGATCCCTCTCCTCCTTGTGGGTAAGGTCTACAAAGGCAAGAACTGAGTGTCTAAATCAGGGCTGCAGTGTGCAACCTTTGGTATAAACCGCTAGCACCCAGCCTAGCACCTGGCACACAGAAAGCTTTCACTGAACGAAGAAAGTGTAGACATGCCCGTGGCTCTGGTGTCAGTTGGCAAACGCGGCCTGGGAAACACCTCAACTGTCAACGGGTCCAGAAGGGAGCAGCAACTACAGAAATGCTAACAGCTTGTCAGAGTCCACGAGCCGGGCAGTAGGGTGGGCACAGCGCTCCTACAGGAGAGCAGGACAGGTGGGGGATTTGTCTACAGGCTTCAAAAGGGCAGTGCTGGGGGCTGAGGAGGAAGGGACAAAGATGCTGGGTTCGAGAGCCTGGAATCCTTGCATGGGTGGGCCATGCAAGAGGATGCCACGATTTGAGGCTGAAGAAGAACAAAGAAAAGCTAGAAGGGAATGAGGCAAGGCCTTGCATTCCTCTCCCCTGTGAAATGTGAGGCAAGGACCGAAAGCCCTGGTGTAGTAGCCACAGCCTCTGTGTGAAGTGCCAGCATCCCCCACGGGTGCCGGCTGGTTCTCCGCTGCTCGACTTCTCATCCAGCTCCCAGCCTGTGAAAGCAGTCTTTGGGATCCTACACCCCTGGGGGAGACCAGAAAAAGAGCTCCTTGCTTCGGACCAGTCCAATTCCAGCTGTTGCAGCCATCTGAAGAGTGAACCAACACACAAAAGACCTCTTTTTAAAAAAAAAAAAAATATGAGGCAAGACCTCGTAGAGCAGAGTGGATGACAGACTGGGAGCCACTGAGGCCAAGTGCGGGTCGGGCAGGAGCCACAGAGGCAGACAGCTCCTCCGTCCGTGCTCCTCTCCCTGCTCCTCACCTGCTCAGGCCACGCCTCAGCGCAGTGCTCCCGACTGAGTCAGCAGTGCTCCTGGCAGTCACACCCTATCAATCTCACTTTCCCTAGGTAGTGACAGGCACGCCCTTCTGCAGATGAAGTCAGACTTTCCACAGGGAGACACACCCAGTTCCTTCTTGAATGGTAGTGTAAGGCATTTCAATGGCAGACCAGCTTCATTCGTCGGTTTCCAATTCCATGCCTTCCAACATGTGGGAAACCCAGAGCTAGCAAAGCCAGCACCCAAACGTCCAAGCACATAAACTGGCAAGAGGGGTGCTCTCTGGGCTGCTCCTTAGTGGCTGCGAAGCATTCCTCTGTGAGGTAGACTACCCTACACAGAGCAGATGTATATTCTACCTGTATGAGGGACCACAGAGAACTCCCTGTTGGCAGTTCAGTTCCGGCAGCCTGGCAGGCAAGCCTAGCAATGACATTTCTCATAGAGAGAAACACACACACACACACAGTGGAAGTTCTCTTAGAGAACAACCAGCTTCGCGACTCCGAAGAACCAGACATCGGGAAAGAAAACAAAACCAAGCCACCTTACATTTCAACTTTCCTGTTTCCATTCATTATTGCTGCTAGTGTAGGACTGTGTGTTTGGATCCAATCCTATTCGATTCCAGGAAAGACAAAACCCCCTCCGGGCCTCGCAGCTAGTGCCTGTTGATCCTGCCTTCTTCAACTGCTGCCTGGAGCTTCGTGCCTTAGCCACGTTAGCCTCACCCCACAAGCCTGGAGACAGTTTCCCTGAAAACACACAGACCCTTCCTGGATTCTTCCACAACTGACAGGAACCAGTGTCTCAGAGTCCCCCAGGGTGAACCCGCAGGGCTACGCCTGACCCGTGACACACTTGTTACCCCTTTGGACATACATTTAACAAACTTCATTCCTTACCCTATAGTGGGGTTGATGTTTGGATCGAAACTGTCTTCCACAAACCGCCATACGATACTTGATTTACCTACGCCTGTGTCCTGCAAGAGAGCGAGACGGTGACTGAGAAGTTTAACTACCTTGTGCAGCCGAGGTGAACACGGTCTGTAAGTTTTACAAGCTGAGTTTTGCTACACAACCAGGGAAGTAAGGAGATTACACAAGGCACGCCAGAGGAGGGGCCAAACAGGTTCTAAGAGCAGCGACAAATGTGTCTCAGGCGCCCCTCATGACTTCCGACCCCACCTTCTCCGGGGACAGGACCAGCCTCCAGGGTTTCTCTGAATGCTAAGGGCACAAACTTGGACAGAGCAACAACCTCCAGAGGAAGGCCTTGAAATGGCCACGGGGGCTGACAACACAGTAAGCCAGGCCTTTCCATGTGTTTTGGGGGCTTCCTGATTTGGAGGGTTTCTGGACAAAGAAACTCCATGACAAGTGTCAGGGGGACCCCACAAGTTCAGACACACACCTAAAGAACGGGAAAGGAGGCCAAGGGTGCTGGCAAAACTTCAGGCCCTGTCACTGATTTTACTTTGGAAGACTTGGCCAACTTCCAACTGGTACCTCAACTGGGAGGAAACTGACAAGTGCTCTTCACCCAGCTGCAAAGGGGAGCCAGGGTGGCTGTCAGCACTGTGGGGGGCTGCCAGAGTTCCCAGGCACCAAGTCGGGGACCCCAAGGGTCCCTGCAGCCTCCAGGACCGTCCCAACGACGCAGCCAAGTGGGCGGGACGGCCCGGGCTGAAAGGAGGGTCCGCGGGCAGGACTGCTGGCATTTCGGACAGAGGCGGGAATCGGGGTGGAGGGCGCCGGGGGTCCCTGCCCGCCCGGCCCGCCCGGCCTGGCCAGCTGTCACCACTCACCCCCAGTAGACACACTTTGAGCTCCCGCAGCGCCATGGCCCGGGACCCAGGGGCGCGGGCCCGCCGCCGCCCTAAGTTGAGGAAAGAGAGGCCGGGCCCAGCAGGAGCATCCCCCGGCGACGCCGCCGGACGGCCCAGCCCCGGCGTCTGGGCGCGGAGAGACGACGGCCGCCTACCCGCCGGCCCTCGGCCCGGCCCGTCCGCCGCCAGCCGCGCGGAGCCCGCCTCAGTGGCCGGGACGCCGCCAGGGCCTCCCGGGCGCCGCCGTGGCCGCCATCTTGGGACGCCGGCCGGGTCACCTGACCTCCCCGCCCACCCCGGCAGCCACCTTCGCCGCGAGGGCGGAGCCGAGCGGCGCGGCAGGCCCGGGGGCGGAGCGTGCGAGCCGAGCCCCGCCCACTCCAAGATGGCGGGTGAGTGGGGCCGGGCTCTCGGGGCGCCGGGCGCGCCCGCCCCCTCCTCACGAGAGCGCCCTGCCGGGTGCGCAGCAGCCCCCAGCAGCTCCTTGTGTGTGTGTCTCTTGGTTTTGAGGGATGCCCCTGCACTTTCTGGACTTGCAGGATGACTTACATGATTGTAAGTAACAGTTGGGGCGCCCCGCCCCTCTCTGGGACCCTGTTACAGAATCCCGGGGGGGTGCACACAGCGCCAGAGGCCCGTCTGTGGATATTATGACCTGCATAGCGGGACGTCCTCACTGAGCGGGGCGGGGGGGACGCCCTCCACTCTGGGGCGAGGAAGCCTGTGCTAGGGAAACTTTGTGGACTTTGTCAAGTCCTGCAGGTGGACGGCCTCCGCCCTCTCCTCGCTGGAACAGTCTTTGGGGCAGGAGGCTTGGGAGGGTCAGGCTGTAAAGGCAGGGAGCCTCTGACTTCTTGTGCAGTCAGCACCTGCTGATGCAGACCAGGGACTGCCAAAGATGACTCAGGGCAGCCGTGAACCCCCAGGCCAGGGCAGGCAGGAGGGGACTTGTCAGCTGAGGGTGACCAAGACCCTGGCTGCAGCCTGCTTAGTGAAGCAGGCCTGCTGCAGCAGATCAGCACCGCCAACATGAATTGGGGACGTTCTGTATACTGTCCCCGACCCACCAGCAGCTCTGTTTCCTAATAGTAGAAGTTGTGGTGGAGGCCAGGCACAACGGCATTCAAGTCGCATGAGCCTTAAAGGGGTGATTGCAAGCTCAAAGTTAGGTCCTGCGGTTCTGGAGGGAGTGTTGGCCTGTGCTGGCTTGCAGGTGCTCCTGAGAAGTGGGGTCCCTTTCTGAGTGTCCCCTCTAGGGTGAGTGAGGGTTGAGCACAGAGCCCTGTGCTGAAACACGGGTAACAGCAATAGTCCTTAGATATTGACTGGATCCTCACTCGTGGGGTGGCAGAGCTGGCTCCTTTAGCCCATGGGTGTCTTCAGGAGCACAGACAGCACTTTCTATGGGTGGGCAGTGTTGAGCCGCAAGCAAGGTGTGTCTCGTTCCTAGACTGGATGCTTGGCCTGGCTGGAAAAGCCCATTTCTAGTCATTTGATTGTCTAAGCCAACGGCTTGAGCCATGTACCATGTTGACTGGTGCTTCTGCTTCCTACGGTCCCACTGGGAACTCTAAGGAGCGGACGGGTTCCAGCTGTCAGCAGCCAGCGTGGTCTTCTCACAGCATAGCTGACTCTATGGCTTGAACTCCTTTTCTGGAAGCTAGTTTCCCTCAGTTTTTTTTCTAAGAGAATTGTGACTTTACTTTGGGCCTGTTTGAGTGAGTATTGGGTGTCTGGAACTTGTGGGAAGAGAGGCTTCCAGATGGCTGAAGACCAATCATTGATCAGGCTGGCTCTGAGCATCTCCGTGCCTTGGAAGCAACTGCTATGGGAGCCTCTTGGGGCTTCTAGTTGGGCAGCAGTTGGGGAGGGACAGCATACTGTACCCTACGACTTTATGGAAAGTGGATCTCCTGGCTGTAAGATGAGGGGCTCTGCCCTGCTCCCATTTGTGCTCTTCTGGGTCCTCCTCTTGTATCCCACCATGGAGGTAGACTGATAGCAAGACCTGTAGTGTCCTATCTCCTGCATCCTGGTTTTCCCACACCGGTACCTGTGTTAGTTTCGGCGGACCACTCACCCACTCTGTCTGGAAAATGGCATAAGACTAAGCAGTACCCCCAGGTGAGAAACTTAGATGAGCCGGTACATCACAGACCTGTTAGCTCTATCGCAGGGAGCATGTGTGTCGCCCACCTTACTGGGTTTTCATTGTATCTTCCAGATCTGTGCTGATAGCTGCTACCCTGGGAGGTAGGCGGGACTATTCCTCTTTTACTGATGATGAAGTTGAAAATTAGAGCGGTTAGATAGCCTAGCTTGCATGGCACGGCTCCCAGGTGATGGGGCCAATGGTCACACTCCTTTTGTCTTGTGTGTTGTGCTTTTTAGTGCCGTCCCTCTAGCTGGGTGCTGGCATGGGTGCTGGTTGTGTGAGGCTGTGCCACTCTCCTGCTTGGGCATTGCTGCTTGTGTGAGGCTGTGCCGCTCTCCTGCTTGGGCGTTGCTGTTTTTTACACCAACGTCCTGCCTGCCCAGGTGCCACGGTTAATGGGAATGGACCAGGGGCTCCTCTGACTGTGAGTCTTGATGAAGTGTCACTATTTTCACATGGATGCCTTGTTTTTTGAATCACTCAGGCATCTTCAGGCCATCCCAACTCAGAAGAGATTTCATTTTAGAGAATTGGTTTGCTAAAGCAATCTCAGGTCATTTCCTTGTGAGCAGATGGCCTGTGAGATGGCAAGAAGGCCCATGCTGCTCGGTCAGCTGGGTTGTGTGGAGAACATGGAGCTGTCTGAGTCCGTGTTTGTGGGGGTCCAGGGTGCATCTAGCACATGGAGGCTAGAGACTTGCTTTACCAGTTGGAGTTGAAGTGGGTGGAGGAAAAGAGACGGGCAGCTATAATAAGGAGACCTTACAGCCGTATCAGCAAAAGACAGTGTATGGTTTTATTTGGATCCTTGGATGAACAGACTGACTATGAAAAGACATTATTGAGATAGTTGGATAACATCGAACTTGGGCTGGGTATTAGGAAATATTAAGACTTGTTGCTTTTGTTGGCTATGATAGCAATGTCATTGTTTTGTTCAAGGTAAAAGGACTTTACCTAACAGAAATAAACATTGATGGCTGAATGATTTGATGCATGAAGTTTGTTTCCAAATACTGCAATAAATAATAAGGCCAGGAGGAGGCATAAATGGGAAAAAGGGATCATAATTAAGATTCTTGTGGAAGCTGGGGGTTGTTCTTTCTGCTCTTGTACGTGTTTGAAAATTTCCATAGCAAAAGATTTTTATAAAATGAAATGAGAATGTCACATCTGATTAGACATTCGCAGGCAGAGTCGGAAGGCTGGGTTTCAATTCTGAAGTAACTGGAAAGTTATTACAAGATGCATTTAACTTTCAAAGACTGATAAAATTGAGGTGCAGTGTATTTCTTTCCAAATGCTCACTTTTCAAGAAGAAGCTGTGTAAAAGTTGGAAGAAAGTGAAGTTTTGCTTGTAAGAATAGCAAGGCCAGCACATGATGCCTGGAGCTTTGCTGCGAGCAGGATTAGCCCAGGCAGTGGAGTGTAAACCGAGGCTTCAGATCTTCTTCCTGGAAGAAGCAGTGTGTGCTCAGCCTTGAATAAAAGACAGAGTGAAAGGCTTTCCATTCCACCTGCCCACTTTGTTCCATGTTCGTAAAGATGTTCTTTACCGGGACCATGACAAAGCTGAGTGGCTCCAAATGGAGACACCGTCATGATTTGAGTCCTCAGCCAAACTGTTGAATATTTACCCCAAATTTCCTGGAAACATGAATCATTACTGATTTTTTAATGCATAAAAGTCTCTCTGTTAATTGATATAATTTGAACAAGATAAGGAAATACTTGAGTATCTTAATTCTTAGGAAATAGAATACAATCCAGGCATTGAACTGTTCTCTAAATCAAAGACAAGCTCTTTTTTTTTTTCAGACAATAAATGTTTCAGGCTTTGCTGAGCGGGTGTCTGACATGGCCACTTGCCTCTACTGTTGTAGCTAGGCAGCAGCTATAAGCAGTACATAGGTGCGTACATAAGTAAGTGGATCTGCTGTGTCTTAATAAAACTTTATGTACAGACATAGGCACTGGGTTGAATCTGGCCCACAGCACTGTTTTACTCCCTTTGGCCCTAAGTCAAACTTGGTCTCATTTCGTTCAAGCCCTTAAGTCCGCATTAACTGAGCAGCCCTGATCCCAACCCCACCACCGGGAACGGTAAGAAGAGCCAACTCTCTGTGGTGGTGCTTCTGCTTTGTTGAATACCCAGTGGCAGGTTGCCCGAGCTTCAAGTCTCATTTTTCCTGTAATGTGTTGGAGATAAAAATGTGAGCCTCCTTCCTGCAGGCCCAAGGAGACCAAGACCAAAAGAGCAAGTGGTGGGAGTAAAATCTGCCTGCCCGTTCTCCTTCTTGGCAGTGACCTTACTTAATACCTTCCATTTCCTGTGAGACAAGCAGGTGAGCATCAGAAATTATCTGCTTAAAAAAAAAAGAGGTTTAAAAGGACTTTGAACACAAAATAGGTTATTTTGAACAGAAAATTTGCAACAAAACCTAGCTAATGTGTGAGAAAGTGGTTTTGACCTTCAGAATGTGCATTAGTCCTCACCCTTCTGGGCGGAGGCCAAGAGCGAGGGCGAGCCGCAGAGTCACGCCCGGAGTGGGTGTTTTTCCAGCTTCTCCTGGGGTGGCCCACGGCAGGCGGTGCTGAGCACATGGCTGTGGTTCTGCTCCCGAGACACTGGCGGCCTACAAGAACCATGGCCCAGAGCCCAGAGCCCAGGGCCTGCCGTAGTGGAGGAGTGAGCAAGCAGGGCATCAGAAGGACCAAGGACCCAGTCTGTTGGAGTGGAGGGAGCACTTTTTTTTTTTTTTTTAAATTACAGAGTCAGATATAGAGAGAGGAGGAGAGACAGAGAAAAATACCTTCTGTCCAATGATTCACTCCCCAAGTGGCCGCAACAGATGGTGCTGCACAGATCCAAAGCCAGGAGCCAAGATAATCCTCTTCCGGGTCTCCCATGCGGGTACAGGGTCCCAAGGCCTTGGGCTGTCCTCAACTGCTTTCCCAGGCCATAAGCAGGGAGCTGAATGGGAAGCAGGGCTGCTGGGATTAGAACCGGGACCCCGAGGGAACAGTTCTGACAGGGGCGGGGGTACCTTGGAGTTGGGTCTGTCTGAGAAAGGGAGTGCGGGTAGGCGTCGGCTCTGTGCGCAGGTGCAGTCTGGAGAAGGCTTGGCAAGTGAGCCAGAGCCTGGGGTGGAACGGGTGTGCTGAGGGGAAGAAGGAGAGAGGTTGAGAGGGACAGGGGCTGCCGTTCAGGCTTACCTTCACCAGCCAGTGAGCTTAGGTTTAATGTGGGAATGGTGGAGACTCTAAATTTTGGGGTGCACTTTACTAGGCAGACAACCCAAACATGCCAAGTGCCAGCTTCTATTCTGAGTATTCTTGTTTTTTAACCTAAGGACAAACATCCATGAGGCAGTTTTTCTTTTCTTTTCTTTTTTTTTTT